TGTTATCCTGTGTTTTTCCGGCAGGAACTGGTCCGATTGGCTGCAGAGAGACAGGGAGACTCCGCCCCTGTGTCTCCTGTCCAATCACAGGCCTTTGTGGGACAGGGGGGTCGAGGAGCAGCAGACCTCAGACAGGAAGTCTACCTGCTGGAGTCCAGAGGCCTCAGACAGGAAGTCTACCTGCTGGAGTCCAGAGGCCTCAGACAGGAAGTCTACCTGCTGGAGTCCAGAGGCCTCAGACAGGAAGTCTACCTGCTGGAGTCCAGAGACCTCAGACAGGAAGTCTACCTGCTGGAGTCCAGAGGCCTCAGACAGGAAGTCTACCTGCTGGAGTCCAGAGGCCTCAGACAGGAAGTCTACCTGCTGGAGTCCAGAGACCTCAGAGAGGAAGTCTACCTGTCCAGAGGAGGAACAGGAACCCCCTTCAGCTCCTCCCAAACCCCCCAAGCCTTCCTCAGAGCCCCGCCCCCCGCTGGCCCCCCCACAGGGACCCAGGTGAGTCTGAACCACAGGTTATCCTTCCTTTGTTTATTCAGGAACACACATGAACACCATGCATCATCAAAGGAGGGGGTGTGGACGTTGGAACATTTTAAATGGCAGTTTTTAATCCCCTGAAACTTCTAAATCAGCCCAAAATTCATCAAATCACAGATAAAAACACTTCCTGGTTACATTTCTAACCCTGAAGTGTAAATATGGACTCAGCTGAACGTGTAAATATGGACTCAGCTGAACGTGTAGATATGGACTCAGATGAACGTGTAGATATGGACTCAGATGAACGTGTAGATATGGACTCAGATGAACGTGTAGATATGGACTCAGATGAACGTGTAGATATGGACTCCTCAATAACCTCAAAACCTGCTCATCTGTCTTTAAACTATTGTCTGTGTGTGTGTGTGTATGTGTGTGTGTGTGTGTGTGTGTGTGTGTGTGTTTGTGTGTGTGTGTGTGTGTGTGTGTGTGTGTGTGTGTGATTGAGTGCAGGGTGTGTGTGTGTGTGTGTGTGTGTGTGTGTGTGTGTGTGTGTGTTACTGCAGTGTTACACAGAGGTATAACAACACACTATCTGCCCCCCCCCCTCAGTGTTATAGTATTATATAATCTGATGGAACCAGTGGGACAGACACACACACACACACACACACACACACACACACACACACACACACACACACACACACACACACACACAGTTGGATTGAATCATACCTCACTGGTAGGCGTCAGCATGTTACCGTCAATAATCGACTCTCTCCAGCTCTAGACTTAAGCACCGGAGTACCACAAGGTTCAATACTTGGTCCACTTCTTTTGACCCTATATATGAATGACCTGCCATCTGTCTGTCCTGATGTGGAAGCACAGCTCTATGCCGATGACACTGTGATATATGTGCATGCCAATCCAAAGCAAAAGGCTGCTGACAAACTGACCTCAGCTGTCGTGCTGATCACTAGCGGGCTACACCGCTCCTGTCTTCAGCTTCATGTTAACAAAACAGGAGGAATGTTTTTCACAAAAAGAAAATGCAACATTGTGTCAAATATAAGCATCTCAGGTGAACATATTCATATTGTGCCTCAGGTTAAAGTACCTTGGAATCATTATTGACTCTAATTTAACATTCAAAACACAAGTCAAAAAAGTGACCCAAAGTGTAAAGTTTAGTCGAGCCAGTTTGAAATACATAAGAAACACAATGACATTGAATCCTGCCAAGTTATACATGAATGCCATGATCATCTAACATACTGTCTCACAAGCTGGGGGCAAACTAACAGCTCCACACTGAAGCCACTAGCAACCTGTACAAACAAGCCCTCAAAGTACTGGACCAGAAACCTAACGGCTCCCATCACTGTACCATCCTCAACAAGCAGAACATCCTGAGTTGGGAAGATTTAATAAAGTATAGGAACATTGTTCTGGTGTACACAACCCTGCACAATACAGCCCCCCCACCTCTTAACTCATTGGTTACTCAACGTAACAACACCACACTGACCACTAGAAGCTCCACACGTGGCGACCTATCAGTCCCATTCAGGAAGAGTACTTTTGGCCAGTCATCATTCTCGGTCACAGCAATACAAAACTGGAACTCTCTACCCACTCAAATCAAAGACATACAAACACATACCACCTTCACAGCTCACTCAGAAACATGGTTCACTGAGAACTACAGCAGAGGCCTGTACTACGAAGCTGGTTCAACATAACCTGGATATGTTTGAGTTAGCCGGTTGGCCCAATCCAAAACATACGCGCTCTCGCTAAGCGGTGCTACGACGCTGGTTATCAAGTGGATCGCTCAAGCCAGCCGTGTCCTATCTAGTTAGGTGCGCGTTCACATGAAAGGGGTGGTATCTGGAGCATTCGACCAATCACAAACATGGACAAGCGTACTGACAGCGCAGCGTCATACTTCCTGAATGAAAAGTGAACTTTAATATTAGTGAAATATGAAGAAGTTAAACTTTAAACATCCATGACTTAAACACTTATCCAGGATCAAAGCCACATAGCTGCACCTGCAAGGTGAATACAGCTGGTAACAGAGAAAGTGTTTGAATGCGTACATTAACAGGTTTATGAAATCACTGCCCCGTCTAAGACACGATCTGACTTTCATTACATTTGACTCCAGTGTTTCGTCAACTTAATGTGTTGCTTAAAATAATACTTCTGCATCCAGTATGTGACACTGTGAGTGTTGCACGGCCAGATACGGCTCAGCTGACTCAGATAAGGAAATATATGATACATTATGATGTGATATGATATGAATGATAATGGGACACATCGACGTCTGCACTCACAGTGGACTGTACTTAATGTTACTCTGATCCGGTTACTTATGTTGTGGCAGATATTTAAGTAAGCTTTCTTAACGCTAATGTTATAATAGTCAGATTGCTCTGAAGATGGGAGGGGATATTCTATTAATGTTCACGTTCACACAGTCAGGTGATCTTTCCTGCAACGGCAGTAGTTTTCTGTATTTCCTCTACTCCTGTAATATGACTTGATCGCTTTAAACTCCGCACACGGAGCTCTGATTGGTCAGCAGGCGGTGCTTTCACTGAGTTGATCTCTTAGCCTGCAACCTAACCACCTGCTCCGGACCAGGTTAGCCGCTCAGCATCAGTTACCATGGAGATCCTAAGCACGCGCTAAAAAGAGAACCAGCGTCGTAGGACCGAAAGCCAGAGTTACCCCTGAAGTTAGCTCAGAGAACATCCGGCTTCGTAGTGCAGGCCTCTGCACACTAGTCTGTGTTGAGTATGGCGTGAGTGTTACATGGTGTGTTGCATGTTGTGATCATGGATGCTGCCCCCTCGTTTCTGTTATGTGATTGTGATGTGCTCTATGTGCCATGTACTGTATGTAGTAACGTGTGTTGTTTATTGTTCTTTTATCCTTTCGCCTGTATCTACTTGTCTTTCCATCCTTTTATTTTATTTTATATTTTTTATAACTAATGCTGTTGATATATTGTGATTTAAACACACACACACACACACACACACACCACACACAACACGACACACACACACACACACCCACACACACACACACACACACACACACACACACACACACACACACACACACACACACACACACACAACACACACACACACACACACACACACACACACACACACACGATACATAATATGAGTCCATATACAAATACTCTCCTGAGTGTATGTTAGTGGAGGAGCTGAGGGGGAAACAGGAAGTAGAGAGAAGAGACATCACACATGCCCCCCCCCACTTCCTGTCTGCTAACTGAACCACAGAAGAAGAAGTGAGGGAAAGTTGTACAACACGTGACATCACTTCCTGTCGTTAGACACAGTACTGCATCACACAAACACACACACACACACACACACACACACACACACACACACACACACACACACACACACACACACACACACACACACACACACACCACACACACACACACACACACAACACACACTCTCTCTAATGATTGGTCACATGTCTCTCCTCAGTCCTCCGGCCCTGCCTCCGAAACAGCGTCACTCTCTAACCCCCGCCCCCTGCAGGATTGCTATTGTTGCACCAATGAGGCGCGAGCCTGCAGCTGACAGACAGGTGCAGGTGAGGAGTACAAGTACAAACACTCGTAGAAAAAGTACACATACTGGTAGTAAAAGTATCGACACTAAAATTACACACCACTCTTAGTAAAAGTGCACACACTCGTTTTTAATAACTCTATGTTTGTGTGTAAGATAGTAAACATGATGATGACATCACTGATGTTTGATAATCCTGACAGGAGGAGAGTCTGAAGAGGAGCCCTGAGGACACACACTGTGGTAACACACACACACACACACACGCACGCCACGCACGCACGCACGCACGCACGCACGCACGCACGCACGCACCACACACACACACAACACACACACACACACACACACACACACACACACACACACACACACACACACACACACACACACACACACACACACTCACACACTCACTCACGCACACACACACACAACCACAACACACCACACAACAACACACACACACACACACACACACACACACACACACACACACACACACACACACACACACACACACACTCACTCACGCACGCACGCACGCACGCACGCACACTGCTGACTTGCAGTCAGGGTGTGTGACACCACTTCCTGTCAGTTGACAGAAACAGGAAGTAATGTTTCCTGTCTGCTGCCTCCTGCTGGAGTTTTATCTTTGAGTAATAATAACATTATTGTTGTTGTTGTTGTTATTGTCTCAGAGGATGATCCGGACTATCACTTCCTGCTCACTGAGACCCCCCCCCTCTCCTCCCTCCCCCCCGTCCTCCCAGAGAAGAAACGCTGCAGCACAGGAGGTGAGACTCACTGTGTCTGGTATGTCTCTCTGGTCTGATTGGTCTCTTTTCCGTCTGTGTCTGATTGTCTCTCTGTGTCTGATTGTCTCTCTGTGTCTGATTGTCTCTCTGTGTCTGATTGTCTCTCTGTGTCCTGATTGTCTCTCTGTGTCTGGTTGTCTCTCTGTGTCTGGTTGTTCTCTGTGTCTGGTTGTCTCTCTGTGTCTGATTGTCTCCTGGATGTTTCCTCGTGCTACTGGTTTATGGATTTTTAGGTTTTTCAATGTAATTGTTTTGTTAAATCAAGCTGTTGCTTTTTGTTATACGTTATACCCCTTCTCCTCATTCTGCGTTTGGGTCCTGATAACCCCTAACCCCTGGGTCCTGATACCCCTAACCCTGGGTCCTGATAACACCCTAACCCTGACAGCACGAGCGAACCAACAGGGACCAACAGCAGATTTTTCTCTCGAACAGGAACTGAATGAATTCAAATACATTTTGGAGTGTGTTTTTAATGACTGGAGGAAAGCCTCCTCCAGAGGGTCAGAGAGACGGCCCTTAAGGAGGCCCACATGGAGGTTTTAAACCAGCCCTGGTTAGGAGCTTGTTGCCTGAGTGGCTCTGAGTGGCAGCCCTCCAGCCTCAAACCCCTTCTTGGGATGCCCGCCTGGCCTCGGGTGGTCCAAGGAGCCTCCAGAAGGCTTCCTTGTCCTGTTCCGTTGGGGGTCCTGCCAACATCCTTGTCCTGTTCCGTTGGGCCGGTCCTGCCAACTCCATATCCGTTCCGTTGGGGGTCCTGGCCAACTCCATGTCCTGTTCCGTTGGGGGGTCCTGCCAACTCCAGATCCTGTCCGTTGGGGGTCCTGCCAACTCCTTGTCCTGTTCCGTTGGGGGTCCTGCCAACTCCATATCGCTGTTCCGTTGGGGGTCCTGCCAACTCCATATCCTGTTCCGTTGGGGGGTCCTGGCCCAACTCCTTATCCTGTTCCGTTGGGGGTCCCTGCCAACTCCATATCCTGTTCCGTTGGGGGTCCTGCCAACTCCATGTCCTGTTCCGTTGGGGGTCCTGCCAACTCCATATCCTGTTCCGTTGGGGGTCCTGCCAACTCCTTATCCTGTTCCGTTGGGGGTCCTGCCAACTCCATATCCTGTTCCGTTGGGGGTCCTGCCAACTCCATATCCTGTTCCATTGGGGGTCCTACCAACTCCTTATCCTGTTCCGTTGGGGGTCCTGCCAACTCCATATCCTGTTCCGTTGGGGGTCCTGCCAACTCCATGTCCTGTTCCGTTGGGGGTCCTGCCAACTCCATATCCTGTTCCGTTGGGGGTCCTGCCAACTGCATATCCTGTTCCGTTGGGGGTCCTGCCAACTCCATATCCTGTTCCGTTGTTGGTCCTGCCAACTCCATATCCTGTTCCATTGGGGGTCCTGCCAACTCCATATCCTGTTCCGTTGGGGGTCCTGCCAACTCCATATCCTGTTCCGTTGGGGGTCCTGCCAACTCCATGTCCTGTTCCGTTGGGGGTCCTGCCAACTCCATGTCCTGTTCCGTTGGGGGTGCTGCCGACACCTGTTCTGTCGGGGGTCCTGCCGACACCTGCTCCCAGTGCTCCTGCTCCGGCGATCCAGCTGACTCCGGAGGGGTCCTGCCGCCTTCTTGCCTGTCCTTGTGCCCCGGAGTCTGCCACCGAGATCACTGCCCCTTCTCTGCCTCTGCCTCGCCCCCAGGAACATGCCTGTCTGTCTACCTGTCTGTCTACCTGTCTGTCTACCTGTCTGTCTACCTGTCTGCCTACCTGTCTGTCTACCTGTCTGTCTACCTGTCTGTCTACCTGTCTGCCTACCTGTCTGTCTGTTAATGAACTCTGTCTCCTCTCAGGATCGACCTTCTCTCAGGCCCCGTCTTCTTTTGGCTTTGACTCCGCCCACTGTGATGACTTCACCACTCACTGTGATGATGTCACTGGTCCTGATGATGTAACTTCCTCACCCCTCTCCCCCAGCAAGACGCCCCCTCCCCTCCCCGAGAAGAAACGCCACAGTGAGTGAAGCAGTGGGGTGCTAACGGCTAACAGCTAACAGAGCTTACAGAGCTAACAGAGCTTACAGAGCTAACAGAGCTAACAGCTAACAGAGCTAACAGCTAACAGAGCTAACAGCTAACAGAGCTACGAGCTTAACAGCTAACCGAGCTAACAGAGCTAACAGAGCAAAACAGAGCTAACAGCTAACGTTAAGGGAGGTTTCCCTTTAGTCACGTGACGGTGCGTGTAGGCTCTAGTCATTCTATGGGCTGTTTAACTTCATCATCACTCACCTGTCTCTCACCTGTCTGTCTCTACCTGTCTGTCTCTCACCTGTCTGTCTCTCAACTGTCTCTCTCTTTAGTCCAGCAGTACCTTCAGTTCTGTTCGTCCTATAGCGCTCCGTCAGCAGCCGTCTTCTACCAGCGACCTTCGACCTTCAGCCAGCCTTACATGAGCCAGCTGGACACACAGCTGGACACTCAGACGTCAGACTCCAACCCTTCACCTGTGCTCCCGCTGCTCCAGTTTTACCACAGAAGAAGAGACAACAAGTAACACACCACACA